AACAGATGCACATTATGCCTACTTGAAACTTAAGATTAAAAAAAAATTATTTATAAGGAGAAGAGCATGAAAATTTAATTTAATGTTCACCTTAGGTAATTCTGTCTTATTGTTCGGGGCAATTACCATAAATCTGCATTTCAATAAGCGAGAACAGATGTCAGTTGTTACAAGCGCTTGCCAATCAGGTCTGTTAAAAAGTGACAGATGGGGGTGGTAGTGGTAATGGCACATTCTCAGAAGGCCTGTTAGCACTTTCCGCAGCAAGTGTGGGTTGCGGAGGCTGCTTGGCTGTGGGAAGAACTTGGGGTCTTCGTGGGCCCAGTTTGCACACCTCCCAAGTGTGTCCCTGACGTGAGGTTCTCAGCCTCCAACGCACAGTTTTTCCCTCTTCTCAGCTCGTCACAGACATTCCAAGCCCGCCTGTGCTGGGAGGGGATCTCCAACAGGTAAAGTCGTTGCGATGTTGTTGTTCTGGGAAAATATTTGCCCTCTATGATTTCACTGTGACTTTGGAAACTTAGGCCAGATATTCTGGAAGCGAATTACTACCAGCTTCCCCGAATATCAGAAGTCTAAGGGAAGCAGTCTTCCCTTGTTTATCACAAGATGCTCTTCTTTGGCCATCGCTTCTTAATCTCTGTAATCTCTTACTAACAAGCCCTCACCCTTGAAAAATACTTCCCCTAACAAAAAACAAACCCTCTTAATGAATTTGGAATGTTGTCCAGAGTGAAAGGAGGAGGTTTTCCTGTGGCTGACTCACAATCGCTGCTTTTTGAGCAGTTTTGGGGTTCTCCTGCATTGTTTACCGATGGCTCAGAGTTGTTTGTTATTTGGCCTCTTCAACCGTTTGTGCAGACAGGTCACCGAGGCTCATGTTGACAGAACATACCTGGATTTGTGGAGACGCAGAGCGCTGTGTGACCATCTCGGGGGCCAAAGGGAGCTCGGGCTTTGGATCAGGCCCATTTGTAATGTGGATCTGCCATTTATTAGCTTAGTGACTCTGGGCAAGTTTGTTAATTAACTTCTCTCTGCCTCCGTTGCCCCACCTGTAAAACGGGATGCTAATGGTCCCTATCTCATAAAGCGTAACGATATTTGGGAATTCTGTATCCTAATCCATATAATACCATTTCCTGGTCCTTGGGCTCATAGAACTTATTCGAACTTTTTGTACCTCAGTTTTCCCAACTGTTACGTAGTAACAAGTAGTGGTTTTGTCCTTGGCTGTGCTGTGAGGATAAACCCCATGATTATTTCAAGAAGCTCTGTGAACAACAAACTTGTGCAATACTGCCCTTGTTTTTCTAACACGATGCTTTTTTGAGATGACAGTTGTTATAAGTAAGTGAAAAACCGGAAAGCCACTTTCCCCTTAATTCCTTCTTCTTCAGGAAAAATCCAGACCCTTGGCCTGAACACAGACCCCACGTTTTTGAGATTTCAGAAATTCATGGAATACCACAGCTGAGTGAGAAATGGACACATTTTTATCAGAAGTTATGAGAGGGAAAGTGAAATCAATCGACTTGAAGGATGCACATAAAAGCAGTCAGCTTAGGGGCTTCCCTGGTGGCGCAGTGGTTGGGAGTCCGCCTGCCGATGCAGGGGACACGGGTTCGTGCCCCGGTCCGGGAAGATCCCACATGCCGCGGAGCGGCTGGGCCCGTGAGCCATGGCCGCTGAGCCTGCGCGTCCGGAGCCTGTGCTCCGCAATGGGAGAGGCCACAACGGTGGGAGGCCCGTGTACCGCAAAAAAAAAAAAAAAAAAAAAAAAAAGCAGTCAGCTTATAAAAATTTTATCCTTACTAATCTATTTTCTGCTTTTTAAATTTCAGATTTAGTAAAGGTTCCCTTTTATAAAATCATAAAACATGTCTGAAGTTATTTTCTATTTGAAAGGAAAATGGTAAGTGTTTTTTTTTTTTTGAAAAAAGTAGTATAGTTGATGTCTCATTCAATTTTATTGATGTAAGTACTTAGGAACTTGTCTCCTCCTAATTTTTTTTTCTATTTTTTTCCAGCTTTCTTTTATTTTCTCCTCAAACAGAAAATGTTTACTCATTCAAATGAGACATTTTAGACTCTAGTGAGACACCTCAATTTCCTGAAGGACAGACCATTCTGTTCTGAGAGCTGTTCACAACACAGTGCTATTGTTTTCCGAAATGATATTTCACTCTTTGGTGATGGTGTTCTCAGCTGCAGTACTCGAATTTTCCACGTGGAGTTTATTCTCTGGCCCTGGAGGACATGAACGTGGCATCTGAATCGTGGAGGTGCCCGCTCTCACTCTGCCACAATCTCACTCAATTTACCAGCATCTAAGCCCAGGGGTGCTTCGGGGATGAACCACCTCTCGGGCTCCTTCATGTTGCTTCCACCGTGTATGTCAATACCACGGGCTGTGTACACACGTATGACGCTGTACCAACTCGCTGATCCCAAGTCTTTGACAACTCATTCATGAAGATACAGTCGTTAGGTTGTGTAATGGTCTGTGGCTTAGACATCGGGCTAAAGTCAAATTTCTTAATTAAAAAACCAGGTATTTCACTTAAGCTTCACTGGGACTGTATCCAACACATAAATTTGCACCTGCCAAATTATAAATTTACTTACTCATCCACGCAAAAACAGTCACAAGTGCCACTTAGAGGAGTGAGGGCTGAGGCCACGCCTTCTCGGAGCATCAGTGATTCAGAGGTGAGGGAGGAGGGGAAGGAAGAGAGGGTTTTTAGGGGAACGCGGAAGAGGGGCCCCCCCCGCTCCCACAAGTCGGTGCTCTGGGGAAACGTCCTCCAACAAGGGGCCTCTATGATCCACCCACTTTCTGACACTGGTTTCGGTGACTGGCGGTGACAGCAGTTAAGCCCTACTCTTGGGAGAAGATCAAAGAGCAGGGGCCCAAGAGCACCTGGTTGAAAAAAATACCCCAAACCACGATGCTTCCAACACTTGGGATGATGAGACCTGATTTTCCACAGGAATGAAGGATACTTGTTATAGAAATGGCCAAGCAGACAGAACCCGGACATCCATGTCCTTGGTCCTCACTACTCGAGGTGACAGTGGAAAATGGGCCACTTGGCCTTCGGATGCACAGCCTGGGCAGCCTCGGTGCTGAATTTAATGCTGAAGGTTCGAGAAAGGGGTATTTTGGAGAGCCGAGCGCATTCACAGGCCACCTTTAAATTAGCCATCTGCCCCATGCACCTTCTCAGGTGATTCCCAGATACCCTCCGTTTTTAAATGAGCACACGGCGTGCAGATGCTACCATCCTGTCCTGACCTGGCGAGCCACGGGCGCCTGTGGCCTAATGAAGAGTGACAAGGCGCACCATCCACCCGAGAAAACATGCCTGGCAATAGCCTCAGGACCCAGTGACCTTCTTTGCATAATTCAACTGTGGGAACGGGAGAGCCTGAGGCTTCCTCTAAGGAAAGACTCTAATTCTGGATCTGGGTGGGTCCCTTCGATTAGAAGAAAAACAAATCTTGCATTGGCGGAAAATACAACAAATCTCAGCATTTCTTTCAGAGCTTGCAATCTGGAAGGTTTTCTCTTTTTAAAACGTAGCAAACTCTCTGAATATTTTAGTTCTGTCTCTCCAATCCCCTTCACAGAACTAAAAATAAATCAACTGTTCAAGGCGATGCTCAGCTCCAAGGCCAGCTTCCCCAAATGTATTCGTCAACATTCTGCTGAATGGTTTCACTACTTATTATTTTAACACGGATTTTTTTTCCCCCGTAATAATCTAAAAGTGTTATTACAATAGAACAAGCTGGGGGTACCAGATTTAAAGCCCCACGGGTAACTGAGCATTGTTTTTACTGTAGGCGAGTATGTCCCATCGGACAAGTTACCATTTAACCCTGGAGGCCACCACGAAAAGCTGGGCTGACAACAACTGGACATACAGGAACAGAAATCTGCGTGTGCTCATTCCAAGTGTCTCCAGATCCATTCAAAGTGAAACAAGGAAAAAAAAACCCACAAGGATATGCATGTGGGAAGGGAAAAAAAAAAAAAAGAGAGAAAAAAGGAGTTTTCATAGTGACAGATAAGGAAATCAGGCTTTTATTCTGTACATCCTGGGTTCATTTCATCGGCTCAGGGTGTCCTTGATGAAAACAAACTGTGCTCGATTCTAATGCGCCCAAAATCTGTTCTCCTTGCCTGCGCTCCCCTATCTTGTAGGAATCAAGCAAGGAAGCAGCTTCCTCACTGCTCCTCGCGGCAGGTTCCTGGCACCTGTGCTCTGATTCATCGTGCGGGGCTGCCTTCCCTGGCCCCGTGGTGTGGGTTAGGATGTGAGCCTGGAAGGTGACACAGCAGGACTGACCTTTCACTAATCACTGCCCCTCAGTTACTACTGACACAGCTCACACTAAAAAGAAATCCTTCATGAGCGGGCTTTCAAATCTAGTCCCACTTTGATTTTGCTCAAGAACCAAGATTCTACTTTCCCATCAAAGATTCCGACGCACAATTCTGTCAACTGGGGTTCTGAAGTTTAAAAAAAAAAAAAAAGGGCACCCTGTTAATTGTCTGTGGTTATCAAGGGACTGCAAACGGTATCAGAGATAGGCCTGCAAGCCTGACTTTCATTACGAAGGTCAAAACATTCTTATTGACTGCCTGTTATTAAAATTCTAGAGGGATGTCAATCATGGCAGCTGCCCTGGATATAGGAATCTTGTTGGAAATCCCCCAGCAAGCAAACCCATTTTTTAAAAAAAATAAACACAACTCTGGAGGGTACTGTGCAGGAGTTCTCAGCCCCCCCCCCCCCAAATTTTCTCATAACTGTTGGAGATGCCAGAGTTACAAGATCAGCTTCTGAGCAGCTGACTCTAATTTTAACACCTAAGCCAGAAAGCAACTAGGACCGGTAGTTACTCTTTGTTCTTCTTTTCCCCAGCTTCTGAACCCATCCCAAATTCAGACAACAGCACGGTCAAAAGGCAAGGCTCGCTTCATGACTTACCAGCCATTTGCTGAATGCCACTGAATGCACCCAGGTTGCTGGAGGAGGTGGCCTGCTGCAGAAGCTGCAAAAGAAAAGAGAAAGGTACTGTCAAAATGAAGTGGAGCTTGGAAATGTACTGTCAAGGGAACTTCCCAAGTCCACTGAGGGCACGTCCAGTTCCCTTTACATTTACATAGTTGGTTGCTGCTGCCTGTTAACGGGCTGAAGGTTCCGAGAGTTGGGGGCTATAAATCCATGTTAATGTCTAACCTCTATTAAAAAACACAGACACTGGGGAAACTCAATAACGTAGCTGCCTTAAAACAATTCATCAATTTACTTTTTAACAACCAGGTGTTAAATCTATGGGAACCAACATGGCGTGACTAATGCTCTCTCTGTGGAGCCTGGTAGTTCCCGTAACTCATGTCTGTCAATCGCGGTCCATCCCTGGGTCTCCTCCGCTTTCCTTCACAGCTCAGTGTCCTACAACCTTCATTAGAGAGGTATAGATTCACTGACTCTTGGGCTAACAGAGAAATCACTGTAATACCTACAGACGTAAGTGTATGTATCTGCAGCCACAGAGTCACTGTCATGACTTCATGACCAAGACAATGGTCACCCATTTTAAGACGGTCTTCGTTGGCAGAGAGCAACATACTACTTGTCAAAACTTACAAGTATCTGGTGCTATGTATGTTGATGCTATGCATTATAAATATATCAGCATCTTTTAAAAAAGAAATGAAGACAGCTGTGAAAAGGTCTCTGTATTTTGTCCCTAGAGCTTCCAAAAATACATTTAATCCCCCGTATAGAAACGGTGGGTACCACAAGGTAAAGGCATGTGGTTACTGTTCGAAAGCACTCCTTTATTCGTCCACATCAATTGAATTATAGGTTAACTTAGGTGCTATACTAAGTGTTTGACTAGGCTTATTGATATTCTCCTTTTGGTTGATCAGTACAGCTGCAGTTTGTACCTGGGGGCAGGTATGGAGTTATCTCCTATACTCAAAAGTCCATGGATGCTAACAGCATAGATTCACCAAATTTATTATTAAAAAACTGCTATGGTACTATGAGCTTAGGAGGAACCAGATGAATTCACTATTTAAAAAACAAGCTCTCAGAATTTGTCTGGAGTGCTGCGAAACCTAGCGGAGAGCCCTGCCACTCCTCCAGGTAATGGTAGGTCTCCTCAGCTTAAGAAGAAGGAAACTCTGCAACTGGATGTGACTCAGAAATGGGCATCTAGCAATTGACTTAAGAGCACCGAGTAGAGTGGAATATCGGTGGCTGATTCAACTTAAGTGTTAGTTACAATGATTAATGTAATCCCTGTGGGGATTAACGTGAACAGCTGTGGGCCTTCCCTGGTGGCACAATAGTTAAGAATCTGCCTGGTCCAGGAAGATCCCACATGCTGCGGAGCAACTAAGCCCGTGGCCACAACTACTGAGCCTGTGTGCCACAACTGCTGAAGCCCATGTGCTGCAACTACTGAAACCCACACACCTAGAGCCCGTGCTCCACAACAAGCCACCGCAAATGAGAAGCCCGCGCGCCGCAACGAAGAGTAGCCCCCGCTCGCTGCAACTAGAGAAAACCCGCACGCGGCGACGAGGACCCAGTGCAACCAAAAAGTAAATCAAATTTAAAAAAAGACAAAAACAAACATGAACAGTTCCCAGACATATGTCTGCAACTTTCATTCATCCTTCTCGACTCAGGGTAGTATACTACCTCGACATTACACACAGACACACACAGACACACAGAATGAGAAAGAGGAAGAAGCTAGGAATTATCCGTTTTGACAGAGAGAAATCCCTCATCTCGGTTTGATTTCTTGGGTTTCCCATTCTCTTGTGGTTGCAAGCCCTTACCCTCTCCTATACTAGATATTAAAAAAAATTAAAGTCTAGTCAAGTTAAATTAGCTTTGAAGATACTCTGAGGAATTAATAATCTTTACTGATTAGTAAGTGGCAATACCTGGAGTGTCATTAAACTACCTCCGTGGATTCTTCCCACTGACAACCACTCTTCGGTGAGCCACAGTCAGAATCTACCCTCAACACAGAGGCAGGGGATGCCTTAAAGGCCAAGGGTCTTTTCAGAGAAATGGGCTTCCGATCGAAAGGGGTAGAGCAAACTTGGCAGAGAGAGAAATGGAAGCCCTCGGTAGGGGGAAACGTAGTTCAGAGCATGTAAGAACACGTTCTTATAAATGAGGTGGGGATGAATTCTCTTTCAGGATTCAGAAATAATTTTCAGATGTGATCAAAGAAACACGTGCCAGAGATTTCTGTGAGCCCTGGGGCATGGGAGATGGTCCAGAAGACCAGGGCTAGGCACATGTGTCTTGGTTTTCAGACATGGTGGAGCAGGAAGCTGGATTCTTAGAAACTACGAAAAGGTGAGCCTGACATCAATCTCTGATAGAAATTCTTGTACTTAAGGCGATGATCTATGAACAACTGAAAAACACACGTTTGTGAAAAACAAATGATTGTTCAGCTAGACTCATTTTTTTTTCTCATGAAGTTTCTAGACCAATAGACCAAGAAAAAGATATGGCAAGCACATACAGATTTCAGCAAGACATGTGATGAAATCTCTCATCTCTTATCTCTTTGTGGTTAAGATGGAGAAATGGCTAGAAGGTGACAGCAAACTTGTATTAATAACTCAGGGGAAGACAGGAGAGGCATGCTCCTTCAGCAAGACATCCAGACACGTCTTGAGTAGCAATTACACGGCAGACACCAACAGGCAGTGGGGTGGGGTGGACAAAAGAGGAACGTGAGTCACATCTGTCCTTGGAGAAGCAGACCCGCCGGATGGAGAGAACCCATGGAGGGTTGAAATCCTGCTTGACCACCAGTGCCATGACCTTGGGTAAAGTTACATAACCCTTTTTTTTTTTTTTTAATTTTTATTGGAGTATAGTTGATTTACAACGTTGTGTTGGTTTCAGGTGTACAGCAAAGTGATTCAGTTACACATATACATATATCCACTCTTTTTTAGATTCTTTTCCCATATAGGTCATTATGGAGTATTGAGTAGAGTTCCCTGTGCTATACAGTAGGTCCTTATTAGTTATCTGTTTTATATATAGTAGTGTGTGTATGTCAATCCCAATCTCCCAGTTTATCCCTCCCCTGCTTTCTCCCTTAAGACTCTCCCTTTCCTCACTTATAGAAGCACGATGATCTTACCTTTCAAGGTCACAGGAAGGACTCTTTTACAGAACAGTATTGGTTCTGCTACAAAGTACGGAATGGGTCATACAATCCTGAGAGGGACAGTTCAAATGTCAGGACAGAATTAGGATGGATGGATGGATGGATGGACGGACGGACGGACGGACGGACGGACGGACACACACACACACACACACACACACACACACACACACACACACACAAGCTAGAATAAAAGGTCCAAAGGCACACTATGAAATTATATTAATAATGTGTAGTCCAGCATTTAGGTCCCAAAGCAGAAAAGTGGGGTAGAGTAGCATGCTTTAGCAGTAGTTCAAGTAAAAATAAATAAAACCTTAGAGGAGTACGAGCTGCCTTCCACTGCTCTCAAGCTACATTAAGATATTTTAAAGTCCACAATAGGGGTCACTGCTCATGCTGTTTGGATCTTCCTGGGAGGAACTGTCTCACATTCTGATCATGGCATTTTAATAAAGACACTGGCAAAGTAAAACAGGCAGCGCAACAGAAAAAAACAAGGAGGTGGAAAGTTTAGAAACAATGAAATGTAAGGGCTACTTAAAGAATTGGGTCTATTTGGCCTGAAACAGGATCTGAGTTTTGGGTTTCAAATAGATGAAGAAACATTTGAATTTAGTTGACATCGCTCCACGGGGAGGACCCAGTGAAGGAAAGTTCCATCTGAGGTCCTGATGTGGAATGGACCGAGCGGGGAGGTGGTGAGAGTGCCAACCACGGCTGCCTCAGTGCCGTTAAGTCATCGTCTATCACGCATGCCGCAGCCCTGCCAAGGCTGGAGTTTGTGCGGAAACACTGGTTAGACACTCAGCCCTGTGGGACCCCGCTCAGCCTCCATGCGGCTAGAATGACGAGTCCTGTTCCTATGCTCATCAGCTTCACCTGGAAAAATATTCTTCATCGACGCTGATTTCAGGAATTTCCCGGCATTCATAATGTCCAAGACGAGCTTTTGGTGCACTTAGGGGCCAAGGAGCCTGTCAGAGCTCCACTGGGTGTGCTCCTCTCTCCTGGGGACCACATGCTCCCCCCACGGCCCCCCAAGAACTTACCGCCAGGTACTGCGGGGTGAGGCCGCCCAGACCTGTCAGGTTCCCCCAGGTGGCAGTGTTGAGCTGCTGCATCTGCTGCGCCAGCTGCTGCTGGAGACGCCTTTGCTCCTTGTCCTTCTGAGTGTCAGCGAACTTCACCACAATCGGTGAAGAGCAGCCCTGTGGTCAGACACAGCGGAAAGTGGAGAGGGGGTTACAGCCTGGCCCACTCCGCTCAGGACGCTCAGTCAGCTCGGGGCCTACAGCTTTCTGAACTATTCTGGAGCACAGGGGATGGCCTGGCCTCGTGTTTAAATGGTTTGATGGTCCTCTTCTTCTCTGAACAGTACCATCAACAGAAAATTCCAGATCCTGCCACTGGTGTCTTTGGGGCTCTGGTGGTCGATGAAGCCATTTGTGCTCGTGCTCTGATTATTACACTGCCTCGCCTTCTCTCTTCATGGGTCTTCCTTCCACCATCCCAGCACCTCCTCAGAGACAAGAGACCTTATCATTGTCCTTTAATTAAGCTTCACGGTTCGCTTGTCTGAAAGATGGACTTGTCCTGGTGTGTCTGCCTGTTTCCGCGTGTGAGCAGGGGACAAAGGAGGGGGACGAAATGTTGTAACGGGGATGAAAATGCCTGTCGCTCATGTCTTTTCCCCCCACTCTTTCCAGTGTTAAGTACTTCTGAACTTTGGAACTGTAGGAATCATACCGACCCAGTAATATAATCGGGAGAAGTGGGTTTCATTTAGGAACATGGATGAAGGAAGGAGATTTTCAGGGGACACGGGCACGGAGCAATGCCACTGTCCCCATGTTTTCAGAAGGGGTTCTCCTCTTGCTGTATCACATCTACTCTAGCTGTAACCCCAGGAGCTACAACAAATCAAAAAGAAAATGTCAGGAGCAACCTAGTCCAAGGAGGTACATCTCAAATGGCTGGAGATGTCTACTTAGCTTCTTGTCCTCATCAGTCTCACTGTTCTAGGAGCTTCTGTGTTCATTTCCTTTAAAAGGCAGGAGCAGAGGTAGTGAGTGAGAAATGGCCAAGGGTTATATAACGGGACCAATTCATGTCTGATACGGAGAAAATCATTAGGGAAAGTAAGGGCCTCACGCCTCAGGCAGGAGGACTTCCTTGTGAAAGCACCTTTTCAACATTCGCCCCTTGGCAAATATTCAGCAGAAACCAACTCCCTTCCCTCTCTGTTTAGCTTTGCTAAACATTCCATCACAATTAAAGCTGTGAAATTTTGCTGAGATAAAAAGAAGTTAATTCTACCCAAGTGATTTAAAAGAAAAAACCCACTTTTTATTGAAACTCAGCATGATAACAGACCTCTCTCTTCTCCCCCCAGAAATTTAATATTCCTATTTAAGTGAGCTTATCCCTTCCCTTTGGGTTTTCTTTCTCCTAGAAAACAGAGCTGCATTTTTTTCTTATCACGTTGCGTAGCTACTGGGGACGGAACTATGCATACGTGAAGCTATCATGCCTGCTGTTACCCCCCAACATGTGAGAAAAGTGTGGTGACTGGGTGTTGAACCTCCAGCAGACTGGTCTTCAGCTCTGGGAGTCACAGTCACGGCACAGATGTTAAGAGTCAGTAAACGGCATAAAAGTAATATTTCCACCGTTTAAAAAATCTATACTTCATTGTTCTTCATCTGTTCCGTATTTCAGCGTTTCATCACTTTAAAGACAGCAAAACCACTCTGAAGATGGAAATTACAGACAGCAAGGGTTTTGCATGGAAAGGGTTGTTACTGTATCAAATTTGTCCCATAACAAATTATAGCATCTCTTCCTAACAGTTCATTTATGGTTGGCTTTTTTCTTCCTTAAATACCAAAAAATGATACAAAAGCAGAAAATCAGGCCAATGATTATAGTTCAAAAAATGACTTGTATAAACCATGAAAGGGGAAAACAGGGTGGGGAGAGAGTGGAGCAAAGTGGGAAAATCCAGGTACCATATAAAGATTAATAATTTTCAAAATAACATGTTCTTTTCAACTTTAACAGTGACATCGTTTTGAATTCACATCTCTTAGATCATACATCTTGATGAAAGATGTAAGCCAGAGTCCTGAAAATAATGTAATTAATTCAAAAAAAGAAAACAAACTGCAGTGGTACGAGTATAATGAGACTGCACAATATGTAATCTTCTGTTTAAATGTCAATATTTTTGAATTAAACAAGAAATTTAAGCGTCTGAGGGCTCCTCTGATTAAGCATGGATGTCCAGATTTAAAAACAAGTGCATCAGATCTGATTTCTGATAACAGCAGTATTAACAAAGGATCAAGGATTTCTGAAGAGTAAATATGCCCCATTCTCTACAGCAAATTCTTTTCACTCTGAGAGCCTGTTATTTTCTTGGTTCGGGTTCATACCCAGTCCTGCTGTATTTTCTCGTGCTCTCCTTCCGTAGGGACCCAGGAGAACACAGACCTCCCACTCGGGCGGGGGGCCCTGGGTGAAGGAACTGGGGTGGCAATGTTTCCAACAGAGCTGAAAGAATTGAGGTTACAAAATCATCTAAGGTGAGACCAATTTAGGTACAAATCACTCAATTACAGGAAATAAAAATCTTTAAGAATGAAACATATATATGGAAGATAATAAATACAGGTCAAGACTTCCTTTTTCTTAACAGTACTTTCATTTCATCTCCAGACTGATATGTAGCTGGAAACCAGGCTGATCCCCGATAATGGAGCCCCCCAAGGTAAGGGAAAGGGTAGGGTGAGGGGACAAAAACATGATCACGTGTGTGACTGCATGTTGTTCAAGATTGGATTCCTAGACATTTCAAATCCTGCTAATTCTCTCTTATTGTGGCCGATTTTCACCTGAGCTTGCCTTCACGTAGGGGGGTGTGAGTGTCTTAAAAATGCATTGCACTGAAAGGAAAACACAGTGATTATATAAGATATGTTAGGAATACTGAAGTCAAAAGGAAGTTCGAAAAAGACAATAGGCTTTGCAATGCTGATATCAAAACTCAGAAAAGTACAGTAAACACTTAATGACAATGCCATGCACACTCTTTACCCCCCGCTTCCACCCACCCTTTGGCTCCCTAGAGAAAGGTTGCCCACAAAACAAGACCCATAAAGATCACTAAGCTCCCGGCATGCTTCGGGAGATGCAGCATTGCAAAAAACAAACAAATGAACAACAACAAAAAAAATTAAACCCCCCCCAAAAGTGGAGGCCAAAAAGAAGCTCAAACGATCAATAAAAAAACTTTTTGGCACATTAAATAAAACTGAAAACAATTTTTTTTTCAAAAGATGATAAACGTTAACTTCAGGTAACACTACAAAGCCACCTCCAGAAAAGATCACCCATACACAAAGATACAGTTTACATAATACAGCAGAACATGCACTCCCAAAGGATTCTATCAGACAATACAGAATAAGTAACAGCATATCACTCTTGGAGTGTTTTTGTGCAAAATTCTGAAAGGCCATGACCCGAATCACAGACTCAAAGTACAGAGCCATTGTCTACATTTGTGGACCCACGCCAGCCTATTTCTCTTCCCCGAAAGCCACTATGTCTCATTAGGAGATCACATTTGAGCCTTTGAGTTCCTTGGTTATTGTTCATTTTTTAGTAAGGGGGAAAAACTAATTTCTCGGGGGGACTCTCATATATGAACATTTGCACTGGTTCAATGAGGTGGGAGAAGTCTTAACTTTCTCCAACATTCTTGATGCAAAAACAATTCTGTTTGTCTCGATTAAAGATAACTTGACCCCACATTAAAAAGAAAATAAAAAAGAAATGGAAGAACCCTGTGATTTAGCACAGGGCCAGCTGCAATTTGGAATGGGGTCTGTTAATGTTCTACCCATCCCACCCCTGGGGCTGGGGAACGTACTTGATCCTTGAGGTATAGAAGGATGCTCGGTTTAAACTGCATCATGAACTTTACACAGCAGGACCTGGGCCACTGCAATAAAAGGCTCAAAAAGGAACGCAGAGGAAGTGGAAGGTTTTACACTAAGTGCATTTCCAGTCATCAGGGGAAAAATTCAGAGAGAGAAGGAGAGAGGGAGAGGGAGGAGGAGCGAGATTAAAGAAGAAGGAATATGAATGAATGAAGAGAGAGAGATGGTGAAAGTTTACATCTGTGATTGTCATGTGAACAATCCACACAGGAGAGAATTGCTTTCCATTCCCCACCATTTGCACAAAGAAAACAAAGAAAGGGCAGATGATACAGTACCTCCATGGTCTGAGACTGATGCATGGCTTTGATTGCATTCTGTGCCATTGCCCTTGTAGAAAATGTGACAAACGCACAGCCTGTGGGAAACAAGGGGACAGGGAGCAGGAAAGACAAAAAACAACAAGACAAAAGGTTTGGACGCTTGTTAAACCAACACAGTCTACGAGAACTGCCACAGGACGACACTGTTCTCAGTAGTACATGAAATCAACAACTTCTCTCTTTGGTTTTTATCTGGTGTTGCTTTTTACTTACAGTGCTCACCTGCTAATCTGACCACAGCAGAAAGATTTACTGATGGATTAGTTTATTTATTTTTTAAATGGAGTCCAGGGGAAGGAGGCTGGGTACTTTCTTTTGGTAAGCCGCGGGGCGGGGGGGTTGAAATGCGCAAGACCTAGTTTGCATTTTCTAAAATAAAAAGTTGCGATTTTACATTTTTTTCCTTGTCTATCTTGACTTAGGGCATCTACCCATTCCGGCTCTGTATTTCAAACATGAGCCTTGATTTCTAAGCAGCAAATAGTAAAATCCTCACACCCAGGGCAAATTAGCAACTAGATTCCAAGAGCTCGAAATGTCAGCAAATAAATATACCTCATCTCTTCTGGGTAGTTAAAAAATAGATGTATGTATAAATATACACTCATGCTATTCAAATGCAAACAAATATACCCCAATCCTGTACAAACTACTTAGTAACTGTTAATGATGAACAAAAACAAATGCTCTGTTACTCTGGGAATATTCAACTGTGTCTATGAAGTAAAATTTAAACATTTGCATTGGATTTCTTATTTGTATCAAACCTTCAAGACTTTTAAGTTGTGACTTGTAGATTCTTAACAGAGATTCCACCTCAAGTGTAACATACAGAAGACAATGTATATTTCTGTGAATGTCTCCCCTGAGACCCACAGAACTCTCCATGGCTATTTTTCTCCCCAGCTGTAAAATAACTAGAATCTACAGTGCTTGTTCCTGCTTCTTGTAGCAGTGTTGGCTACCATGCAGGTCACTGCTCCAGCTACATGGCTCACTGCCCTTTCCACTAATAAAAGCACTGCCTTCTGAAATTTACATTTTATTCATCATGCACCCTTGGGCTTCTCAGAGAAAAAGACTGTGAAATTAATGCAGATTCAGGCTGATTTTATAATAATACCACAGCACACTAAAAGCTTAGCTAAAGCAACGCTGACTATTTCACTTATGATCTCTAATGACTTTAAAAGTGCATTGATTTTCAGCTTCTTTAGCCTTGCACAGTTTGAACTTAGGTATCAGAGAATAATTTAGTGTTCTACTCAATTGCCTGAAAACATTATTATTATTACTACTTAAAAGATTTCCCAATGAAGCAGATCTAAACACCGAGGGGCTGAAGCTTGTCATCGCAGAGCGAGTGCACAAAAGTGGAATCCTGGCACCAATCACGTGAGATGGTTGCCTCTGTGGCCGGGAAGCCCAACAGGACATTCTACATCCAAACAACCAGCGGGTGGCTTGGTGTATGGGAGTCACTGTGGGAGCCATTAAACACATTTTCTTTGTTTGCTCTGCATGGGTACCTGGTGAGATTATCAAGTCAATACTGTATTAGCACCTTTCAATCAAACAGCAGTAAGAGAAAGCAATGCCTGTCCATTACCCCCAAAGCACAACAACCAGTCATGAAAATAAGTCAATGCATTTTTTTTTTTTTGGCATCACGCTGTAATTTTTAATACACAAAACTCTCTGTACATGGGAGGTTCCTCTCATTCACCTCCATTAAGCTGTCCTCACTGAAGCCCGACGTCTAGCTCACGAAGAATGCCAAGCTATCTCCTATGGTTTTTCTGACGTTACAGCAGCTGGTGAAGCGGACTGTTTCAACATGCCGCCTGTACCTGCAGTGGCTGTGGCTTTTGTCATCAACAGAAGCAGCTGGGCAGCCTTCTCTAAGGCATCTAGATGATGTGTGTGAGACAGTGTGAGATCTACAACAGGACCTCTGCTGGCTCCATACTGAAACAGACTCAGCTCTAAAATGACAGGGTCCCAAATTTACCATCTGTTTCAAAGTAGTATCTCTTGAAGACTGTGATGATCAGTGGTACTATTAACAGAGGAAATAACGCTAAGAGATTTTTCTTTTTCATTTTTTAATTTTAAAAATTAAAAAAAAAAAAATTTGGTGCTGCGTGCCTTGCGGGATCTTGGTTCCCAGATCAGGGATCAAACCTGTGCCCTTGGCAGTGAAAGCGCAGACTCCTAACCACTGGACGGCCGGGGAAGTCCCTTCATTTCCTGTCTGGAGGCTACAGTAGAGGCACAAGCAAATCATCTAATGGAGGCATATTTGAGGCCATAGGAAGCCCAGACTAACTCTGCTTTTTTTTTTTTTTTTTTTCCTTGCGTTATGCGGGCCTCTCACTGCCGCGGCCTCCCCCATTTGCGGAGCACAGGCTCCGGACGCGCAGGCCCAGCGGCCCCGGCCCACGGGCTCAGCCGCTCCGCAGCATGTGGGATCTTCCCGGACCGGGGCACGAACCTGCGTCCCCTGCATCGGCAGGCGGACCCTCAACCACTGCGCCACCAGGGAAGCCCCACTAACTCTGCTTTTAGGAGTCAAGAAGCCTGCTTCATTCACTTTGCTTGCTCTTATTATCTAGGAGCATGTGCCAAACCAACAGCTTCTAAACGGAGGTTAAGAATGCATAAAAAAATGTAAAATGTCAACAAAAATCAATAAGGCAGAGTTTATGCATCTACCACAATTTCAGAGCAGGCAGAGCTTTTGTAAGTAACTTCGGGAGAAAGATGGAGCAATTAACAGGTCTCAAAAGAAAAGTCTTAGCAAGAGAACAATGAAATGATCTCTCTATAAACTCGAACCATTGCCCCTTCCCCTCTGTGAAACCTGCAATTAAAAGGTTGACTGATGCTTCTAATTATACAATCCTCATCCCATCCAAAAAACGATCTGACAAATCTGATGACTCCTTTAACTTTTTTATTCTACCGGCAGTGGTGCAGTAAGAGAGAACTTGCCTCCTAGGGGCTCTGTCAAGTTCCCTACTGGGTGCTGTGTTCAATTACTTAAGGGAAAAAATGACTGTCATTTATTAAATGGGAGCACGTGCTGAAAGATTCACTCTCTCTGCCACTCTGGATGAAGCTAAGTAACTTCAGAACCAAATGTTCCATGGGTTGGTAGCCAGTTAACCTTTGTAACATCTCTAAAACAGGAGGTCCTGGCTAGATTTTCATTTTCTTTTCAGCACCACTGAAAACACTGGCTTTGGGACGGGCCCTCAAATCTGCACTTTTCACTAACGTAGGGTCACACAAGCTCCTACAGTCAAAATGGGCTGCTGGCTTCTACAAGCCAGCCAGATGACTTCCCGCTGGACAGAAATGACTTAGGTCAGTTGTCATCTTCTTTAAGATGAGCTTCTGGGTACAGCAGAGTCTACTGGGTCTTGACGGACAACTGCTCCGATCTTATAGGGTCAGCCCTCAACTGTTCTAGACTGTTGCGCATGCCGGTGACCGACCAAAATGCTGGAGAACTTAGATTGGGAGAAAAAAAAATACAGGTACCAAGACAATAAAGCTATTTTTGGGGGGTGGGGTAAGATAGCCCATATATTACTGTCTCAAAGCTTCCAAATACATAATAGCAAAAAAAAAAAAAAAAAAAAAAGGCAAAAATTCCCTCTGTAAATGTGTCCAACCTGTAATTTAGCTTGCCACTATTTATTGTCTCCACTTTCAGAGTGTCAGAGATTGCTCATAGAAATGAAAGGAGCTGAATTCCTCCTATTTCAGTGAGGTTGTCTTCTTGCTGCTAAAATAGATAAATGATTGACTGGGGAAAGGTTTCTCAAAGTCATTTCCTCCTACAGACAGGATCTAAGGAAAGCACAGAGCAGATTTTGGAACCCAGCTATTACACTTGTCATTTCAGTTGAAAGGATATCTTAAACTCAGGTGTTCTACCTTTTCTCTAGGCTACATGAGAATTTTGAGAGAACTAGATGAATTCTTGCTCTGCATCAAAAAGAAGGGGAGGGAGGGGGCAGGGGGGGAGAGGGAGAGGGAGAGAGAGAGAGGGAGAGAGAGAGAGAGAGAGAGAGAGAGAGAGAGAGAGAGAGAGAGAGAGAGAGGGAGGGAGGGAGAGAGAGAGTAATGAAAAAAGTAGAGGCACTTTTAAAAGCACATACAATGATGCCAGGGTCTCTTGCTTTTCTGCTGCTTCTTTGAAAGAGGAGCAACAGCTGCTATATTTTAACTGAAGGAAAAGCATAATTTAAAATAACTTGTGTGGCTGAGAAGATTTCAGCCTATGGAAAACTTGTTTATAAATTCCTCTTCAGCTGTAGAAAGATCTTAATGCAGCCAATTTTTCCTCTCAGTATCTTTTGAGCAACGGCAGGGTTTAAACATATGCTATGAGTATAACATTGGAGCATCAAAAATAATACTCTAATGTGCAATCCCCAACGCTGGGTTAGTTTATTTAAAATTGGCATGGAGAGATCTTTGATTCATGGCACCTGAGGCTGAGTGCAGACTAGGACTTAATAGTTGGCAAAAATCTCATCCCTGAGATGAGGTTGGAAGACTGTACCCAGAGCAGCATGACAAGATGCATTTAACAACCCAGGGGGCATCTGATAAAGGTTTCCACATACCTGAACATTTGGGTACCACGTGGGCAAGACTAAAATGTCACGATCAGAACTGAGTCCTCTCCATGTACGTTTTAAAAGTCAAAAGCTCTCTCCCAATATCCTGATCAGATATAACGAAAATAAATGAGGATTTAATGGCTAAATCCAGCCTGTGGTCGCTAACATCCGTGAAGATACCGCCAATTCATTTGTCAAAGGTTTTGGCAGGAGAATGCTGGAACACCATAAACACAGCTGGAATATTCTTAAACCAGCAGAAAGTTACCTTAAACGGCAGTGAAGATTTGACTGCAGTTTATGGGAAAGAAAAGTGAAATCAACCCCTTCACTGTCTCTGAGTTACAGATATTTGGTTGCTATGGTGCAGCAAACCTGGCAGATTGTACCCAAATAGTCCAATCTGACTGTGGGACTGTGGGTAAGTGAGAACATGTGTATTTTAGGAAATCAACATGCTAAGGTGACACTGTCCAGTAAATATGTTGGCTCAGAAGCCTCAAGCTTTTATTCTGAGAGCAAACATCTCATTTCACTTGCCATGTGTGGGCTTGCGCTACCCTGGCTTGCTTTCTCAATGAAGCGGGCCTGAGAGGTAGATCTGCCACTGCAGAAGGATCTGAGTATCATAAGGGGCTTGAAAGCATCTCCAACCAGGTTTTCCAAATCAGAGAAAAATGGCAGAATGGGTTACTGCCCCCAAAGGGGAAAAAATGCAGGTTCAGATGTGGGCATACCGCGTAAAGCGAGGCAGAGCCCCGACGTTTGTTGAGTGGTTTCAACAGGCTTGGCAGGTGCTGTCCTTGTATAGGCATGACAATTTCCCAGCGGGATGGGGCAGAGAGGTCCCAGCTTAAAACATGACACAGATCTGGGTGATGGTGAATAACTATGGGACTTTTAAAACAGTCTTTCTTGCCAATGTGCAGATCATGATTTTTTTTTTTTTTTTTTTTTAAAGACAGTGATTCTAACTGAAAGTATAGCAAGGCTAAATAGGTACAAAGATGTGGGTCCTGGCAGCCCACTACTCTGATCTGGGGCAGGGGTACTGAATCAACAGCCTGGAAGAATCTCAGGTTAGCACCTGCCAGGTAGGAATGTCAACTACTGATGTGGCAGAGAATGAACGACACGTGACGCCTGTTGGGGACCCAGGGCTACTAACTGCCTCCTCTGCCTTCCTTCCTTGTAGCTGAACTGGGCAAAAGCAAGAACAAGAAAACTGAACCACTCAAGGGCACCTCTCCCTCATTATAATCAAATGGTTCGATTTAAATCCTTTCCTACTGACTAATTTACACCCTGGTTTAGTATTACAAGGTACTTTTCAGAGCAGCCAAGCTTTCATTTCACTTCATTTTAATTTATTTTGTAAACAGCTGAGCCAGCAACAGGCATGGAGACCAGAAATGCTGAGCGCCCCTGATCTGCAGCGCCGCACTTATTAATATTTGATTGAAAACAGCAATTCTTTAATGAAAGCAAAAGAGTAGCACGAAAGAGAACTGTTCTCTCAACAAATCACTGACTTAGGAGCAGAGTCCCCAGTCCCCAGGAGTCCCCGGGTCCTGCTAATTGAAAAATGCAACACTGTCTGTCTTTATATCTCAGAACAAATGAGAATAAATGAGTATTTTCTTTTTTGCCACAGGGAATTCTCATCCGTTTGCCAGAAAATCAGAAATTATTTTTCTGTTAAAAAAAAAAGCAGGGGGGCAGGGAGGAGGATTCTACTCTTTACATTGAACCAGCAGTTGCATAAAGTACTGATGAAAGTGCTCTCATCACTTGTTTCAGAAATAGGCTGCTTCTGGTGTCAAGTGCCGGTTCATCAACCAAGTGGCAGATGGAATTGGTCAGGTTCTCCCATCAAGTACAGTGTCTTGACACCCTTTCCTATGAAAGTTTTGACCATTTAAAAAAGAATCTCATCTGCAAAAATAGCTAACATATGCTCAAGGATCTCTAGGCACCAATGCTCTTCGTCACTGTCCCCACTGGACAGATGGAGAAATTGAGGCAGAGAATCAGTTTGTAAATCAGCAGAGGGAAAACAGAAGTCCAGCGTTCCTACTTCACAGTCAAGGTCTCTATGAAACACTATGGATGGCCTGCCTCTACAAAAAACCTACCGTGGCAGTAGCTAATCACGCCCTATCAGACTAGCAGGGCAGATATTTAGACTGCTGCCATTTTCGAGCGTGGAAACTGAGGACAGAGACAGGAAAATGAATGGACCACGCCCATGATTCATGTCAGGAGAAGTTCTGGGACTGGGCCCCAGGGTCACTGACCTCTAAGGCACTATACATTTCCCTATGCCTATCGGTTCTTTCTCCATGCCGTACACCTTGGCAAATGCAAAAGTGCAACGATAACACGGAAGTTGTGACTGAGAATAGTCACAGGGAGAGAATAGTGGTTCTTATTACTAAACTGGCAGCAGAAAAGGGATTGCAAAAATATTCTTTTGTCTTTCTTGCCTACTTAATCCTGCCTCAGCCCCGCTGCTTTTTCCCGTGGTATTCGCTCTCCTGGTCTGTCTGCCTATCTACCTCTCCTGGATCAGATGTGATGATAAGCTCTCCTGGTGCGTATCTCCAGGATGGCACAGAGGGACCCAGGATAGAAATCCTGGTATCCTTCTGCCTGCGAGGCTGGATGGGAACCAGAGGCGATGCGGGTGCCCGGGACAAGGAACTATTTTGGGTGACACTGGTAAAGGCGCACGTGGTGAGTGACAGATTAGCTTGAGGCACTGGGTCTGCTGTTTAGGGACCCCACTCAACATCATGTCTTGCTCAGCTTTTAGACTCCCATCTTCCAGTGAGTGTTAAGTGTCATTTCCAGGCCTCCTGCTCTCCTCTTTGTTTTAAAACCACCTTCAGAAGAAAATACAGAGATCACAAGCTTGGAGTCATTCCTCCCCCTCCTAGTTTTCCCCGAGATCACCTCTGTTTCAGGGCTTTGGAGGTGGAGGTAGGTGGAAAACTTTTGTTCCCTGTGCCTTCGATTCTAGCAGTTGACGTCACGAAGCTTTATGTCTAAAAGTCAAAAGAACAAATGTTCTTCCTCCCAGGGCGCTGAGTTTACGTAAGACCAGGGAGATGAATGAAAACTAGTGCCTTGATACTTAAGGCTTAACCTTTTCTTTCAACATGGGGTGCGGGCAGTGCAGTCCCAGAACCAGAGATGGGGAATGTAAAGACATTTCTAATTAGCCCTGCGGAAGTTGCCCTGGAAACCCCATTAATTGAATGAAATCCTCTCTGTGTTGCAAAAAGACGGATTTCTTACGAGAATGGAGAAATGTGTTTTTTCCATGTGCGTCTTCCCCTGGGCCTCCTGGGCTGACTCAGGAAACTAGTCAGATGGCTGGGAACACGGTGACAAGCCTTATAAGCAGTTTAAGGAGGGAGGCGTGTGGGTCCGTCAAAGGGAGAGGTAAACGTGGACAGAAGAGAGTCATCTCCAGCTACCTTGTGTGGCTGCTCGCGGCAACACTGGTTTTCATCCGCGCTCGAAGCCCCAGCCTTTGCCTCTATCACGGTGACACAGAAGAACCTACCACCATCTTCTCCTGGACGAAGTCACTTCTCTGTCACTTAATGGACCCCTGTGTTTAGGACTCCAGGAGCTTTGCTCTTTGCCATAAAACCCTAATGCCCTGAGACAGGCCTGGTTACCCTGAGTCTGTATCTGCACTATGTGGGGACAGGGGCCTTTTTCCTTGGTTTATTTCTCAGTCAAGAGGCCCACACGCTCAGCATTCTCCCAGGCACAGGCAGAAAGCCAGAAGACTAAGATGCGAGCAGCAAACATTCTCTCTCGCTCTCCGCATCTCTCCCTCATACCTCCCAAAGCTCCTTCAAGCTGAGATTGAAGAGGGTTGTGTAACGGCAGGGCAGCCTGTGGGCCTCCCGCCTGACAGTGATAACCTGGGCTAATTTGCTGCCACTGGGACCTTCTTGACTTGAGAAATAAAAGGTGATCGTTCCAGCTATGGTGAAAAGTTTGGGTTGGATAACTTCGTCCCGCAGGACGTATCTCAGGGTGACCTCTTGCTGCGCGTGGGAGCTATGTCTACTTTGACTGGGACACAGAGCTCCAATTAGCACTTAAGGGCAGAGACTCTGCAGAGAGCACACTCACCTCGACTCAGCCCGTCGGGTCCCCGGAGGATCCGGCATTCTTCTATCTGGCCAAATGGAGAGAACATCACCCGGATATCGTTCTCATTACATTTCTTCGAAACCATTCCTATGAACAATTTTCTGTCTTCCACGGCTAGGAGAGAGAAATAATGAATGAGCCAAGCCCACTTCACCTTTTTCCTCGTAATCAATGCGTCATCACCGCCTCCGACTGGGTCCCGAGGCGCTAACTCTTCAGACACCCAGGCCACCTTCCTCCTCCACACGTGCCGTCTCTTGCTCTCCCCACCCTTGCTCTGCATCTCGGCTCCTATTCCAACACTGGGAGCTTGTTTATTAATCAGACATCTTCAAAGGACACGGAACACTGTTTTTAAGTCCTTTTCCCCCCATTTGGAAACAGTAATATGTTTACTAAAATGTTAAAGTTCTAAGTAACTGCTAAATGCTCCTGGCCCACAGAGATATTTTGGGATACAGATTTTAATTTTTTTTTTTTTGGGTAGATGTTCTTTTAACTTGAGTGACAGCGAAAGAGAAAGATCGGGAGAGGAAAAATAACAGAAGCAGATATAGTGGAAAATTGATAAACAAAACTTGTAACAAAGGATTCAGTGGAAGGAAACATTCTCCTTCCCTGATTTCAAATAGCGTGGTCCCCACTGGTCCAGATGAGAACAGGAGACAGGAAAGATGTGAATTTCTCCAGAGAGCTGGTTAAGGGGCCTTCTGTCCGTAGCACTGGCTACGCAGCCCTACCCAGGTCAGCACATGTGGTCTCTGCACCTTACAACTAAAGCTGAAAGCAACTGTAGCCAAGTGAGTGGGGCTGTGGCTATCTGAGAATCATGTCAGGGTGGCCCCAATCTCGGGGTGAAACCCATCACCCAAAAAAAGAACAAGGAAGGAATAATGCTATTCTGCCCACTTGGAGGTAGGATTCTTGATGAACAGACATGGCTTTTGGGCGTCAGGGCAACAACGTGCAAATTCTAACCTTGGAAGCTGTCAGCGGGTCAAGACTAGGGAAGGTTTACCTCTGATGACCGGGGAGATTTGTTTCCCTAAACTGACATGCTTGTGCTCAGGATAACTGGCCTACACTCAGCCTCAAAGGCACAATTATTATGGATTTCAAGACAGTGTTTGGAGCCGTTTGCAGGAGACAGAACAAAAGATCGTCCTAGAAGCCCTCAGGGAGAAGTCTTGCTTATTTCCCATGTTTCCTTTCAATCCATTTCTTAGAATTAAAAAAGAAAGAAAGATAGCCGGCTACACCAGCACTTCAGAAAGTCCTAGCTTACGGGATCATTTTGTATCTGTATTATAATCTTGTCATTGCTATTTAATTGGCTTTTATTCCTGTTTCTCTTACTCTTTTTCTGGACAGTTAAGTGTCTCATTATCATTTAACTGGCAAAAGTGTATTCTAGACTTGCCAGGGCCAGTTGCTTCGGGTACCTAAGTCAGAATCCCTGGTCTGTGTCTTCCAGGAGCCGGGACAGAAGATCTATAATGGAACAGAGACTCATTTACTCTGAAGCAGCTCCATCCAGTAGAACTCGGGGAGAAGGGAAAAGTTTGGTCTGTGACGTCCACCCCAGCAGCGAAAACCATGTGTGGCCACTGGGCACTTGAAAGGTGTCTAGTGTGATCGAGAAAGTGAATTTTTCACGTGATGTAATTTTAACTAATTTAAAATTTAAAAGCTGCATGTGACTACTATATTGGACAAGGGTGGCGCTGAGGGGCTAAGAGCTCCCAGTTGTAGAATCCCAGGCCGGAAGTAACAGACTTGAAAGATGTTTTGTCTGACTCTAAAGAGATGCCAAGGCCCAGCAGGGGGAAGGATCTGGCCAAGGATCATTCTACAAGGAGGTGGCCCAACCTGCAACAGGATCTGGTACCTTCTTCAGCCCAGGGTTCTGCTCACTTTCCTGTGCTTCTGACAAGTCCAGAGGAGGCAGATGAGGCTGGGAGGGTAGGGCAGTGCTGTGACTGGGAGACCCTGGTCCTCGTTCCAGTGCTGCCATGAAGGTGATGGGTGACCTTGGAGGACGAGCTGACCTCTGTGGACCTGAGCCTTGTCATCCATAGAATGAAGGTTTCAACTTGATTCTTTTTCCTCTTCTCTTTCCTTTCTCTCTCTCTCAAGTGGTGGAGAGAAGGCAGCCTGGTTACACGCTTTGGCTGAATGAAGCACTTGAACATGGACTTCAACATCGCTTTCTACCCAGCCTCTCTCTCCACACTGGCGGCGGCTCCCAAGACAATGCAGAGACACGAGGGCTCCAAAGGATACAGGTTGAAAACCACAATTACACAATCCTTGTGAACTAGGAATCGGGTACCAGAGTTTGAGAAAGGCTTGACGTTAGATGTGGAATTGAAACCAGACTTCAAGAAGCACGGGCAGGGTCTGGATGGACTGGTAGTGTGCTGGGGGTATCACGTACTAACCGGACAAGGCGCAGAGTCAGGAATGAATAAGGGCTGTCTTTGTGGTGGACGGAGGAAGGCAGCCTGACTGAAGCACAATATGGACCATTTTCTGCTTCATCTGCAGAGAGGGGCTGGATGCAGAAGGAAGGTCACAGGTGGTCCAGGGCCACCGCCTGTGTTGAGCTTCCTCAAGGAGAAAGGGGGTGTCACTGGCTCTGATTCCTCAGCAGAGCCTGCTGAGGACTCCACTTGCTTTATGTAGATGAAGATTTTTAAATTTAAGAAGTCCTTCTTTCTCCTGTCAGAGTAAATGGACTACCAATGATCTACTAGGAACTGGTGAAAGCATAGTTAAGTTGAGGGCTGTATTGGCACTGGGGTCTAAGAAACAGAAGCATCAGATGCCCCAGAAGAGGTGCTTTCTTTCCAACGGGAGCCTTTGACCTCCAGTGCGATGCCAGACTCCTCAGCATGTGAGGACTCCAGTGGCCCTGAGGGCACGTGGCACTCCCTTGAAGCAGAAGGGGAACGGATGGGACTGGCGGAAACGGGGCTGGGGAGGGAGGGAAAACTTGCAGCTGTAGTTCTTGCCCCCCGCCCCGATCCCTTCCTGCCCTCATCTCTGGGACTCCTACCCCGAGGAAGCTATGGCTGATACCTTGACGAGTAGAAAAAAATTTGTTGTATTTCTTCTTATCCTGAAGAATCAGGTTTTCAAACAAAAGCAAAGGATAAAGGCCCAGTTGGTCCTTGGTTTCCCTGATAAACCTATAATGACGGTATTCAGTGAAGACAATTTTCAGGGTTTGAGCTTCAGGGTGCGGGATGCTATAGTCAACTGAATGCGCAGCTCCCGAGAAGCTCAAGTATGACTTTTCTCCTAAGATGGATTTACAAAAAATGGAAACCATTTACGAAGAAATCCTGACTTCTTAGGCACAATGAAGGGGTAAACTGAGGCAGGGAAATGAAAGATAACTGTCACTTTTTTCAGTAACAAGTATTAGCTAAAAAGAAAAGAAAATCTGCACCATCCATATGCTATTGAAAGTGCTAACTTCCTTTCCTTTCATGTGTGTGTGTGTTGGCACGTGTGTGCATGTATAAAGGAACCTGGATGTTGGCAACCTTCTGCAAGCCAAAGTAGCTCTGTGGTTTTAACAGTTGGGCCTTGTTTGCTTTAATGGAAAAATGGGAATAAATACAAATATCCAGCTTTCCTCTCAGTGAGTTTTCCCGATCTCCCAGCGAAAATTTTTATTCCTAGGATCCCCATTCTAAGGATCGCTAAACAGCTCTGTCAACATTTTAAACAAACTTAATTATCTTGAAATCACTTAACTTTTTCATCAATGTTTGATGAATTTCCTGGTGGGCTTTTCCTAAGTATTCATGGGCAGTTAAGTATCTCACCAGTTTTTTCAATCCACAAGAATGCCAATTGCTTAGATAAACCTACCATATTCACAGTATTCTGCAAAGTGCTTTAGGGGCACTAAAAAAAAAAAAAAAAAAAAAAAAAAAAAAAAAAAAAAAAAAAGAAAAGAAAAGAAAAGATAAGGTGTTTGCCCTCTAAAGAAAAAGCCTGTTTTCCTTTAGGATAACCAATGAATGAATGAGGGGAAATACTTCATATGCCACGTGCTGCACAGGTGGGGCTGCTGCCGTCAATAACAGTAGCAGAACTGAAAGTGGATTCACACCAGTGACCACTGCCAGCTCCCCTTCGGTGGTATAAACGAGAAGGGGTTAATATTAAATACAAGTGGGGACTTTTTTTTTTAAGTTCAGGGACTAGAAACTTCATTTTTTAAAACCCCCCTAATTGTAAGTCTGTGCTAACACACCAGTGTACAATCTGTCAAAGTCACACCTGGATTCGGGGCGGCCTGAATTAATTAACAACTTTTCAATGTGTTAGTGCTAACATATGGCATTTAATTACGGCCTCCGAATCCACGGGTCTCTCTACTTTGAATTTCAAAATGATTTCTTCATCTTCTAGTACATCAGCAAGTGACTGCACGGGAACACCCTGGATTCCTATCTCTACAGGCCTCGCCCTCCCCAGGATGACAATGTCGGGACATCCTGACTCTTCTGAGCTCGGAACTTGATGCACAGCCACAGGGGGTTTCAGAGGCCTTGAGGAAAGAGATTGCGGGGGTGGGGGGGGGGCGCTTAAATGGCATTTCTGGATTCGAGGCTCTAAGGACCCTGACAAGCTGTGAGGTTGGAGGTTAAAGCTCTGATACTCTGCCTACAGAGTCAAAAATAATCCTTCAAGTCAGAAGTGTGACCTCACAGTAAACACTGGCTCCAGCTCCCAAGACTCCAAAAACAGAACCAAAGGCAACCGCCAGGACTTCCTTGTCACCCACTGCTGGACCGACTTCAGATCCAGCAACTGCGTTTCACTTTCTATCTCGCACGGCTGGTTGCTTTTTCTGCATAGTGATGGAAGATTAAAAGCAGGAAAACAGGCCCTCCAATGGGAGAGAGAATGATAAAGAGTGACTACGTGTGTGTGAGTGTGGCTGGTCCCTGAAGTAATCCAGGCCTCCTCCAATGCCCTTCCTGTACCATCCACTCAACTAGGTGTAAGGGAAAAATCACCAAAAAAGGTGGGCGCTGTTGAAATCTGGGTATATACTCAGTGTGTTCTTCTCAGAGTCCCTGACATTGTATTGCCAATCCAGAGGAGGATCCGTATTTTGGATACCTGGCGCAGTAGAAGCATAAGAAATAGAAGATGCTAGGAGTTTACATAAATGTGCTAGAGACTGCAGCTGAAATCAGAGCCATTGGAAAGGCAGGTTCTAGGAAGCCGTGGAGATTTCAGAAGCCCGTTCAGTAAAAGAGTAAAGTGCAGGGCAGACACAGCAGACTAACATTTCTGGGCTTTGTCAGAATCCCTGCATGGACAAAAGCTTAAAAGAGTGATTGCTTTTCCGGAATTCGTTTGTCCATCACTAATGAATCTGTGATGAGCCTTGCTCAGCAAATACGAAGTTTGGGAAATCTGAACACAATGATAATGAAGAGAGTAACTGTTTCACTGTGATGAGCCCTTTGTGTCATCCATAAATGTCAGCAAACTCAAAAAAAAGTGCAATTAGAGCTCGTTATACTTCTTTCACAACCACAGGAGCTATTTCGAGCATCTGAGCCAAAGAAATCTTGGTGCTCTCTGAGCTGCAGAAACTATGCTTACCTGTTAAAAATGTCATGTGAAATCAGAAAAGGCTTGCAGCTTTTATCCCTGGCTTTGGGAAATGATACCTTTCTCCTGATTCTTCCAAGGACAACCCTGAAGTCTGCTCATGGCTATGCAGGATGGGGGTCCCTCTGAGCCTCCGTGAAGAGCTCTTTCAAAGCAGCTTTTGGTCCATTTACACTATTTGACTTTTTCTTTTTACTGGAAATTCAGAAAATGAAGGTAGATCTGCAAGCAAAGGGACAACTGGCCCAGCAAGAAGGTCTGGGGCTTTTCCTTCAGGTGTACAGATCTAAGCTTTGGCAGGAAGAGCCCAAGGCTGGAAGGGCTGGCCTCTGCTCTCAGGATGCGCCTCAACTGGCTGGAGCTATGCCACCAATGTAGCAGACTGCAGGCACGCTACGTGCCAGGTGTTATGCTAAGCTCTGTGGGTGTTAACTGCATGATGACTCTGTAAGGCGGGCCTCACAGGAAGAGCACAGACTAGGCTTCCTGAGCCCCTCTTAACAGCGGGAGAGATGGAGGCTGGGTGAGGTTAGTAAAGAACTTGCTCAAGGTCACAGCCAATAAGTGCAGGGTCTGGGTCAAGTCCGGGCTCCTCAGAATAGATTTCACCTGCTACCCTGGGGCGCTTCCTGAAAAATGGCATTTTTAGGTATTTGCTCATCTTAGTAAAACAGAGCCCGATCCTGCTTGGCTTTTGAGATCGTGCAACATGGGGTGTGCCCACGGCAGTTTGATTCTGTTGCTGTGGTTTTAGATCCAAAGCAAACACTACCCTCAGTGTCCACAGGAGACAGAGGACACCGAGGGCAGCTGACCATTCTGAGCCCTCCCGGCAGGTACCCTGTGGACAGTCAGGGTTCGCACCTGCACAGGAGAAAATGCAGAAGAAGAAACCCTTTCTCGGTTCAACTCTTTGGGTATCTTAAGTCAGACATTTCCAACTCAGTTCTCTCTTTTGTCACATTTTTATCACTATGGCCTAAGGTTCAGACGAACCCCCTCCTGCAGACTCTGATCCCATGGCCCGTGTCCTGACACGGTCTGGAGAATTTTGGGGCCAAAGGACAGAGAGCATCTCCTGGTGGCTGGATGTGCCAGGATGACCTTCACTGATGGAATTCATCCCACAAATAGTAGATCCATCCCGCCTCTCTCCCAGGAGGAAGAGAACAGATTGTAACACGCACTCCTGGAGCAAATCGGCACGGGGAGATGGCCTTCTGCCTGGGCAGACACACTCGCCGAAGGCCCCTAAAGGCCAGGGAACACTGACCAACATTGTATAGAAGTGCTTGAACATTTACAAGGCACTGTCACAAATATCTTCTATGAGTCTTAAAAAAAAGCTCATCTATGAGAGGCAATTAGCATTATTCCCATTTTATCAATGAGGAGATTAAAGTCTGGTCTTCAAGTGATTATTAGATACTGAAACCAGTGACAACGAATGTGAGTTCCAGCAGGTAAAGGGACAGTGTCTTTTGTGTCCTTTTCTTCTTTTAAAAATTCACTGCTGCAGTCCCAGCGTCGGGCAACGTGCCTGGCACATAGTAAGTAATCGATGAATAACTGTCAAGTCAAGGAGTGAGGTGACTGGACCAAGATCCCACAACAAAGCAGGGGTGGATTTTAGACCCTCTTACATTCAATGCCACGCCTGTGATAAAGTACTGTAGGAAAAGGGAGTTAGATTTGCAGAGAAGTGTGTGGCTGGTGAGGAGATGGTGGGGAAAGCGCCAACATCTATCCTCTGACAGACACCACCGTACGATGTGGAATTTCTTTTGAAACTGTCTAGTGTATGGGGCAGGAAAATGGGATGCACTACAATTAGCAAAAGAAAATACCTCGTGGAGACATGCAGAGCCCCGTCATAATTTGCACTGGCAGATAATGCAGATCTCTAAGTGTACGGCTTCTGCTCCATGACTAATTAATGAGGTGCAGAGCTGCCCGGAGGAAGGCGGCCATGCTGACCATGTCAGTCTTGTGGGGCAGGAGAGGGCTGAGGTCTAGGAAGGTAGACGATTCCTTTAACATACAATGCAGCCAGTCCAAAGAACAAAACAGGGACAGAAGGTTTGCGGAAGTGGGAGCAAAAACTTCAGAGAGAAATGGGGTTAGCAACCCTCCGGTGTCTTGGAGAGGCAAGTCTCAATTATTTCACCGACCTCATCAAATGCATATTTTGTTTTGTTTTGTTTTTGCACTGACTGTATGTTTATTTAATCAGCCGACGGAATTCTCAATGAATGTGGATGCAAATGCATGGATACAACCTAGAGAAAAGTGCAGTGAGACAGTCGCAAAGCCAGAGGACCAAAGGGAGGGGGAAAAAAAGACAGCCTCATTCTTGGTGGGCGATGCCCTTCTCACTCACCTTCTCTGCATAGTATAAGGTCACCCCTCCCCATCAGGTGCCCAAGCTGCTGTCAGAGGAGGTAAACAATAGCCACAAGGTGGCCACACAGAGCAAGCCCCAAACCGGGACACAGAAAGCCGTTCCTTGTAGCATCTTCACAGGTCTTTACCCCAGAGATACAGGAGGCAGGAGGGCGGGGTACCCACCGCGATGGAGGTTTCCTGGAGCACATCCCTCTGCCTTCCCCAGAGAAACAGCAACGGGGGCCAGCTCTTCCCGCCCCCCACCTCACGTCTTCACTTAAAGGAACAGACATTAAAGGAAGACAGTCAGTCACCACCTACCGTTTGATTTTTCACTATCTGCAGGTTTCATCTGAATGGGATGATGCATCTAAAAATAGAAAAGTGAGAAAGTAAGGCAGATTGAACAAACAGTCTCAGAAATCCCACGCTATTCAACACGACTACTGATATTGTTATAAGGGCACGTAAATAATAACGAGACCTCTCACAGTTAAAATGAGCTACCTTAAAATGCAAGCATGTGTTTGATGTTCAGCAACAGGATACTTTTAAGTCCCGGGGCGCTGTGACATGGTATCTTAACACGTGGGCTTTCCAGTCAGGCTCAAGTTCAAAACCTGGTCCTGCCATTCAATATGGTTTCTGCCTGGATCTTACAGGTAATTCTGGTTCTGCCATTCATTACGACTACGTGACCTCGGGCAAGCGTCTTAACTTCTCTGAGCTTCAGTCTCCTCATCTGATGAGATGGAGGTGGAGGTGACCCCTGCATAGTAGGGCCGTGAGAATTACCTGAGAAAATGCATGTGACGTGCTTAAGGAATGGGGCATAGAAAAAAAATAGTTATTGTTATTTTGTATTATTACAAATTTAAACACAGATGATGTGTTTTTCTTCTGGCGGTTCTATGTCTGCTGCATGGCTGTTTAAGTCTTAGAGTTCTGAGTAATCTGAAGGTCGACCAGTTGATTGATTGAGGCGCCATTATCCCATTTTTATTAAACACGAAGTGTGAAACAGGAGATGCAGAGGCACCAAAAGAATGGAAGGAAGGAGAGAGGGAGGGAGGAGGAAAGGCGGGAGTGAGGGGCTTACGATCACATCCAGTACATACGTAGGAGGAGAAAGCGCCTGAGACGAAGGGGAACCAAGATCCTGCACTGTGGCAGAACAAGATGCTCTACGGTTCTTTAAACGATGCCAATCACATCACTGTGCATGATCTGAAGATCTGCAGAGCACAGAAAGCTGCCACCATTTCCAATTAAAATAAATTCCTCAAATGACTTTCATGGGTTCTCTTGCTTCATATTTCATCCTACCCCAAGGAACATCACAGCCACAGGGTAGATGGAATCAGTGGCTGTGCAAATGCTTTTATTATAATGGGCCCTATTCTCTCTGAACCTTTAATTTCCCCAGTGGACTTCCCTTACTTGCCAGCCACAGCTCTGGGCTTTATCTAATTGAAATGAAAGGGGAATGGCACTTGGCTCTGGCACTGAAATGATGGGAAATGATTATCAGGCGGTCGAGACCACGTGCACCTAATGCCTGCCAAGGTCTTCAAAACACAAGAGGAAGAGGTAAGAGGGAGCAGTATCAGGGGACAAGAGGCTAAATAATTCAGAGCTGCTTCATTTATTCTCAAAGGCAAGATGCTCTTATGCACAGAACACAGGCCTGGAGTTGTGGGGTCTACTTGTATTCTCACTCCACTCATTAACATGCTCAATCTGTAGAGAAGAGACTAGCATGAGAATGGAATGCTTAGGAGTCAGTAAGTAGACCTGCCTTTTAAGAAAAGGTGCTGTGGGAGCCCAGGGGAGCAGATATTTCATTCTGCCTGGTGGGGGAGGTGGGGGGATTTTGGCAAAGGGCCCATCTGCTTCGAGTCCTAAAGGCTGGCTGGACTTGCTAACAGAGGAAGGGGGTGGCCCTTGAAACGAATGGACAGCCCCACACAAGGACACCGTGGTGAGAAAGCCCTCAGTCCTCCTGGAGGGAGTCCACAGTGTGAGGGCGGAGGGCACGAGAAGGGGCTGCCAGGGCAGCCAGCATCCAGGCCTGAGAGGATCCCACGTGCTAAGGAGCTGAAATCTCCTCTAAAAGTCAACGATCAGGCATAGAATATTTAAGGAGCAAGGCAACGAGATCCCATCTGCGTCCTTGAAAAGTCATTTTTGGCTGCAGTGTGGAGGATGGATGGTAGAAAAGAGACACAGGAAGCAGGGAGAACAGTTAAGAGGCTACTGCAACAGCCCACGTAAAGCTGGGAAGGTCTAAACCTCAGAGGTAACTGGCTGGTTGTAGGGATGAGGGGGCAGCGTGACCCCAGGCCTGGACAACTGTATGTGTAGTGGGATCACTGCCTATTCATTTCACTTTTGTGTCCTATATATAACGTTGTGTCCTGTATATAACTGCCTAATAGGGAAAACACAAGAAAGCAGTTTGGGGAGGGGGTGTAGAGACTGATGGGCACAGGTCAGGACACGCTGCGTTTCGGGTGAAGTTGGAAATGTGGGTTTCGGGCTGTTGGGACAGCTCTGGGAGGCGGCGGAAGCCCCTCCGTCCAGAGAGGGAAATGCGGAGTGAAGAGAGACAAGAGCCAGGGGCAGAACTGTGGAGAACAGCCAGGAAGAGGAGTTTAAGAGGGACAGAGCAAAGGGCCATCCAGAGAAGCAGGAGCAGAACAGCTGGCCCCACTGGAGCCACACAGGGAGTTTCAAGAACAAGGCGATGGTCAGAGCAAGTGCTCTTAGACGCTACAATGAAAACGCCCCAATATCCTTCTGGGTTTGGCAATACAATTTTTTTTTTTTTCTTTTTTAAGGGAATTTATCAAAACAGTTTCTGTTGGGTGGTAGGGGCCAGAATGCCAGCTTGTAGGCAGCGGGAGAGTAACAGGAAAGGGAACAGTTGATATGAGAAATGCAGACAACTATTTCAAGAAGATTAGCTCTAAGTGGCGAAGACAGGAGGCTCGGTGGAGGATGGGGGAGGAGGATGGGGCCGGGGTCTCTCCTTTCCAGATAGGAAAGACTTGTAACAGGTCAATGAGCTGAAAAGACTCAAATGAGACTCACAGGTTCAAGGGATAGGAGACAAGAGATAAGTGTACCAACGTCACGTATAGGACACAAAAATGAAATGAAGGACTCTTGCCCTTGGGAAGATGCCGACCCAACATGGTCGTTGATAGGCACATATATGAAGGGGAAAAGATGGTGACCAGCATCAGAAAAGCAGCAGAGAGAGAGAGTGCCGTGAGCATTCAGATCCATCTGTGACGCGCACGGAGGTCTGGAGGAGGAAATCTGGGAGCGGTAAAGACAGTCATTCGACTCTAAAGCTGCAGAGGGCCCTGGGAATCATTTCATCCAGTGCTCTCAATGTATAGGTCTGAAGGGAGTAAGTGACTTCACTAAGGACACACAGATGGTTAATGACAGAGTTGGGATCAGAAATCTAAGCTCCCTACTCTTAATCCAGTGCCGATTCCCCCAAACCACATTGCTTCCCCCCAAAATGCCCAACATGGGATTTGGACTTATGAGCCTATGATGATGAACTGCAGGCTTCACTCGCTGCAGGCACCAGACAGACACTCAGTTGAAGGCGCCAGCAATATCCCCTTGGGTGAAAGTAATCTTCCTCTGGCCTCGCATCATGCTGTATCTATGGAGCTTTAAGATGGGTATTACACGAAGACTTGACTCTGGGTTTTCCTGCTGCTGCTGAGAGGATTAGCTCTGATTCTGACCTAAGACTATCCAGGAGGCTCAGGAATGCAGCAGTGGTAGCTACAGCCACTGCAGACTTGAACTTGGTTTCGGTCTTTCTGGGGCTCTGAAGGGGAAAAAAGTCAACCTCACAGAGATCTGGATTGTCAGACCAAGATGAATTCTGAATGGGTGGTCACCCTACTCCAGCGATGCTCTGAAGACAATTTAGATAATGCATGTAAAGCGCCATGACCTTCTTGGAGAGAGGTATTCAATCAGGACTGTATTAAGAATGGCTCATTACCACGAACAGTTCATCTGAGTTACAAATTCCTGATGAGACACAGGACGTAAATGTCAAGGAAGACAAAAAAAAAACACATGGTTTGGAGGAGTCATTCTCATAATGTGTGTCACTTCCTCAAAGTCTCATGATTCCAAGAACTTTGGGAGATTTGTTGAGCAGAGTAGGGAAGTTATTGTAAAGAAAGGGGTATTCTAGTTTAAATGTTCAAATTATAATACAGGGATTCTTTCCCTGTAACAGGAAATGATGTCAAAGATTTGACCCAGTAGGACGCTAAGACCACTCACGCATTCGCTTATTTCTGCTTTGACCAGATGATCTGTTACATGGTGGGAATAATGGGTGAAAAAGAGTTCTGGTCATGGTGGAGTATGTAACATAAGGATGAGACAGACGGACCAGCCGTTTCCCACATGCAGCGTGGGAACTCAGAAGAGACACACCCCACACAGTCAAAGGAACGGCAAGAAGGCATCTCAGCTGAAACCATGGGCAAGTTAGATCTTGAAGGGCGCTAACCAGGACCTGAGTGAAGGGCATTTCAGGGAAGGAACGACAAATTTGAAGGAACAGAGTAAGAGAAACTAAGTCACGTTGTTCCTGAAGAATGATGATGGGACATTCTAACCAACAGAGGAAGCAATCGATGTCGCCAGAGATCATTCACCAAACACAACGTAAATGAAGCATGACAAGACCAACAGTGAGGGATACATTCCTGGATCGGAGAAGTTCAAGTACAGGGAAAACAATGCACATCTCAGTCCTGAATCAAAACTGCCCTGGATCGGCAGCCACAGGCTCATCGCCTTCCTCAAGGACTGAAGGTGACCCCCATGGTGTCAAGAACTGAAGCCTGTCAACAGTGCTTCTGTCATGACGGGGAACTGACGCCTCCGATACCAGAGCTGGAGGGGCCGGAGGTCAGAGGTCTGCACAGTGCTCTGCACTGGATGGGGGGCGTGGGAGGGCAGTCCCAGGCGATGGCAGCAAAAGGAGGAAGGGCCCGAGAACTTGGCCGTCACCCTTCCAATCTCTTAACGTCCCACCAGATGCAAGGGACCCTCAGAGTTGAGGGTTGGGGCTGGATCCCTCCTCCTTCTGTCTATGGCGAGTGAGCACATCCTCTTCAAGAATTCTCCCAAGGAGTCTCCTAAGAGGCATGTTATTTTTTAAATTAATTTTTATTGGAGTATAGTTGATTTACAATGTTGTGTTAGTTTCAGGTGTACAGCAAAGTGAATCAGTTACACATACACGTATATCCACTCTTTTTCAGATTCTTTTCCCATATAGGTCATTACAGAGTACTGAGCAGAGTTCCCTGTGCT